AATGCTTTAGGCTTGGATAATGAAGGATTATCAAACGAAAAACAAGTTTTAGGCTTTCGATATAAACGAAATGATAGTGCAAGTGTTCTAGATCTTCATGAGCATTTTCTTCATCTTATGATCACTTGGTGGTTTTGACCATCCGAGGGTCGTTATTCTACTCTCAGAGCTTTAGATCTTTGGTGGTTGCATTGTTTTGAATACAATATAAAAATAAACCTTTCCGAGATTATCTTTGCTGAAATTGTTGAAACCGTTAACCTAGTGCCAAATAAGAAACTCTGTTCTTCACTAGTTTACGGTTGTATCCTTAGTAATCTCTTTTCTAAAGCCGAGCTTCGAGTTGGTCTAGATGCTTCCTTTCCTCTTAAGAAACAAATCAATCTTCTGTCTTTAACAAGAGCGGGATGGGTCAAGGATAAAGATACCGGTGAATGTAGTCGATCTTCTGAAGATACTCCGGGAGCTAGCTCTTCACGAGCTCCTCCAGCTCATTCTACCGATGAAGACGAACCAGACCAGCCTGTGGAGCAAGCACAACAAGAAGACCATATGCCTCCCTACTTTCAATCTTTTCTGGAGACATTTACCTTGCATTCGGCATCCATGGAATCTCGATTTTCTTTCATTGAGTCCCAGCTCACTTCCTTGGGAGCTCAACAACAGGAGATGAACCCTCGTTTGGATGGACTCTCTCTTGAGATGAGAGCTCGATATCCTCCTCCTCCTCCACCCGATGCTTCTATGGATGAATAGATATTGTTAAAATTTTTTAAATGTTTTTGGATTGTTAGTATTTAAACTAATTTGATGGATTGTGGATTCTTGAACTTATATCTATATATATTTGGTGTGGTTTAATTTATTATTGCATCATTAACATCATATATGACCAATTTTGCCATGTCACATTGTTTATGAATATTGATTATGGAACTAATGGCTAACGTTTCTCTTGATTGTGATCTTAGCAGCTTATGCATACATATACCTAATCAATTGGCTAAATAATTTTAACGTTTCTTTGAATCTTTTTGATTTAATAAAAAGGGGGAGAAATGTTTTAAGTGTTTTTAAAAGGTTTAAAAGGAGTAATGCTAGACTAAGGGGGAGAAATTTTAAAACTTGATTTCAAAAATCTTAAAATTTCCAAAATGTTTTTTATATCAAAAAGGGGGAGATTGTTGAATACTTTTTAATATTTCGATATAACAAATTAATATAAATGAATTTTAAGATTTTCCATAAGGCTTTCAAAGTATATTCGATATAATTATTCGAATATCAAAATATTTCTCCAAGTCTTTTAAAAAATCATTTTAATCCTTACTAAAGTGTATAATTAAGTTTTAATCTTAAAATGATTTCAAAACATTTTTACAAAGTATTTCGAACCGTTTCAAAGCTAAAAATTCTAGATTGCTCAGAGGGAACCGATTCCCCCCTGAATGGTTTGGCTCCAAGATTTCCAGAATGCTCGGAGGGAACCGATTCCCCCATAGGGGGTACCGATTCCCCCCTGTTCAACGGTCGAAATATTTGAATTTTACACTTAGGGAATCGATTCCCTATGAGGGGGTACCGATTCCCCCCACGCTCCAAGCATTTTTATTAAATGTTTTTACACTTAAACGGCTATATTATCTTCACTAATCATTCCCAACGTTCAGAAATGATTCAAGGTGTATTTAAGCAAGCTTAGGAGCCATTGATCAAAAATAAGAAACATCAAGCAACTAGAATCAAGAGAGAATCAAAGAGAAAGCATCAAACCTCAAGTTTGAGCATTTCAAGCCTATTTTCATTCAATATTCATTTTGCTTTCAAGAACACTTATTGTGCTCAATTGTATCCATCTTTGAGTGTTCTTTTCTTTGTTCTAGAATTGTGCAAACAATCTACCTTGTGAGGATTTCCTTGTAAGTTTGCAAATTTGTATTGTTCTCTTTGGGAGAGAGTTTTCTCAAGAATTTGGGGTATAATTCTTGAGGGATTGTAAGGTTACTCTTTGTCCTCAAAAGAAAGACATTAGTGAATTTGTGGAAAATCCTTAGTGTGAATAGCTAAGGTAGTGGACGTAGACTTTGATTGAGAAAGTCGAACCACTCTAAATTGCTGTGCAAATCTTTTCAATTTTCTGCAAAAGCTTACACCGAAATTTTTATTGCCAATTCACCTCCCTCTTGGCCGATTTCGTCGATCGATTAACTTAACAGTATCAGTCCGCTTGTGAAGGAACTGGATGTTCAAAAAGAACTTGCTGCTCTTGAGGAAGTTGAAAATCTGTTCCTAATGAAAAAATCTAAATCCAAATGGCTTAAGGAGGGAGACAAGTGTACCAAATACTTCCATTCCGTTATTGCAACAAAAAATAAAACTGACACCATTATGGTCCTTATTAATGATTAAGGTAAAAGGCTGGAATCCTTTGAAGATTTGTCTTCTGAAGTCTTAGATTACTTTATAAATCAATTAGGTTCTGTTGATCCTAATTTACAGCAAGCTGATCCTGATTTCTTGAAGAATCTCCTCCAATTCGACATGCATGCTGATATTTCTTCTGTCTTAGTCAGAAAGGTCACCAATGATGAGATTAAAAATGTCATTTTCAGCCAGGGAAATGACAAATCTCCTGGTCCAGATGGCTTCACTCCTTTATTTTTCAAAAAAGCTTGGTTTGTGGTAGAAGAAGATGTTACCAATACAATCAAATTTTTCTTTGAACATGCTTTCATCATGCTTGCTTTTAATTCCACGATTATAGCCTTGATTCTAAGCTTAATAATCCTAGTACTGTCAAGGATTACATACCTATCTCATGTTGCTATGTGGTATACAAAATCATCTCCAAAATCCTTGTTAAAAGGATGACCTCTCTGCTGCCTGCTCTTATCACTCCTAACCAGTCTACTTTTATTCGAGGAAGATCTATAATCGACAACACTCTCCTTGCACAGGAGCTTGTTAAAGGATATGGAAGGAAACAAATCTCCCAAGATGTGCTCTCAAGATTGATCTTCAGAAGGCTTTGATTCTCTCCATTAGGATTTCATCTCTGTTACTCTCAAAGCCATAGGCCTCCCAAGTATCTTCTTAAATTGGATTGAGGTGTGTTTCAAAGAAGTTAGATATTCGATCTCCCTCAATGGTAGCTTAGTTGGATATTTCAAAGGACAAAGGGGGCTCAGACAAGGTGATCCCTTATCTCCTATCTTATTTGTACTGGTTATGAATATTCTATCCAAAATCCTTAATCTTGAAGCTTCCAAAGGGATCTTTGGATATCACCCTAAATGCAAAAGAATAGGTCTAACTCATCTCTGTTTTACTGATGACCTTCTTATTTTCTGTAAAGGAAACCCTGAATTAATTACTGAAATTATTTTTATTTTGAAACATTTCTATTCTTTGTCTGGTCTCAAGCTTAATGTTAACAAGACATAACTTTTTTCTGCTAGTATTCCCTCTAGAATCCTTGAAATTATTCACAGCATCTCAGGCTTTAAGCAAGAACAACTTCCTGTAAGGTACTTAGGGGTTCCACTTATCACTAAAAAGCTGTCTGAACTTGATTGCCAACCTCTTCTGGACAAAATCAAACTTAAGTTGTACCACTGGTCTAGCAAGCTTCTTAGTTACGCTGGTAGACTTGAGTTAATAAAAATCGTTCTTCACAGCGTGGCCAATTACTGGTACAGGCAATTCATGCTCCCTCAATGTGTTATTAATCGCATTGATCAAGTTTGCTCTCGTTTCCTTTGGAAAGGTACTGATCAGGTAGCTTCTGGGGCTCGAGTCAACTGGTCCAATATCTGTTGTCCTAAATCTGAAGGCGGACTAGGACTAAAGAACTTAAAATCCTAGAACATTGCTTACATGATTCAGCTCATTCGGAATATTCTGACAGGATAAGGATCCCTTTGGGTGGCTTGGCTGAACTGTTATGTTTTCAAGAATAATTTCTTTGACATGGATGCAAGCAATGCTCACAACTGGAGTATTAAAAAACTGCTGAAACTGATACTAACAGCTCTTCCCATCCTGAATTATGGAACGATTTACACTAGAGATATTTGGGAAGCTGTCAGAGATAGAAAAATTAAGGTGTCATGGCATAAAATTATTTGGTTCCCTATGCATATTCCTAAGTTTAGTATGATCTCTTGGATGGCCATCCTAGACAGACTTCCAACTAGGGATAGATTGTCAAGGATAGGTATTGTCATTGATGCTCAATGTGTTCTTTGCAATGAAGCTACCGAATCCAGAAACCATCTTTTTGCAGACTATAACTTTGCCAAAGTATTGTGAATTCTATCTTAAACTTGGAACTTGTGCATAAACCTCATTTACCTTGGGAATCAATGATCGAATGGGCTTGTGTTGAATGGAGGGGAAAATCTTTAATCTCCATCTTGCTGAAAATTGCATGGACTTCCTACATCTATATGATTTGGGAGGAGAAGAATAGAAGAATCTTCAAACAAAAAGCTAGAGAAGCTGCTCATCTACTGTCTCTCATCAAGGACTTTGTTCGGATTCAACTTAGTGGGAAGAATATTAACAGAAATGATTTGAGTAACTATAATATCTGTTGTAATTGGGGTATAGACTAACCATTATTTTGTTGTAAATATTGTTTATACTCCCTTTTGGGACGATTTGTAGTACTGTTCTTCTGGATAATAATATCTTATAAAAAAACATTCTATACAACACTCAATTTATATTAGTTAATAAATAAACTAATAAATTTTAAATAAAATTATTTTGAATACATTTTATTAACTAAAAAATTAATTTTTTCGCACAATGAATACGACAATAGGATTGTTATATTTAACAGATGATATTGACAGGATATGACGACTCGGAGCGACAACCTTGTTCCCATTGGCAAAAATGTGTCATCATCTTTATCTTTAATCTTTATCGAGTTTGTATACGGCTCTACCCATGATTTTGCCCCTCTCTCCCTCCTCGTATTAAATTGAAACAAACCTCCCTTGAGAAATTTATCAAAGAGAGAAAACCCACAAAGAAAGAAAGTAATAGCTATGAGAATTGAAGAGAAAGGAGAGTGTGCCTCCATCAAGCACCTCATCTTTGCATATTATGTCACCGGCCATGGCTTTGGCCACGCCACTCGTGTTGTTGAGGTTTCCCAATTTATCCTTAATTTTTTCTTATTCGTCGAAATATGGATCTACTCTGATGATCATCACTGCTAATTCGTTGTTATAGGTTGTTCGAAATCTGATTGCGGCGGGCCACGATGTTCACGTCGTCACCGGTGCACCTGACTTTGTTTTCACTTCTGAAATTCAGTCCTCTCGCCTCTTCCTTAGAAAGGTTTTCTCCTTTTCCAATTATATACTTAATATGTTAAGGATTAAAGAACTCCTTCAACAATTGCCTTCATATGTGCTGGAAAATTATGGTTGAATCTATTATACTAAACCATATTTCTTTCTATGCCATTATCAGCTAGTTTTAGACTGTGGAGCAGTTCAGGCAGATGCATTGACCGTGGATCGTCTTGCCTCTCTGCGGAAGGTATCAAATCCAACATTGTCATACTCTGAAAAGTTCTTACCGTATAGTTATCTACATATTTATATTTGCATGCTATTATTGCCTCCCCATCTTCCCTCTTGTTTATACTTTTTAACCTGGATATTTTAATTTTCTTCTTTTTCATTTTTATAATTTAGTATTCCGAAACAGCAGTCCAACCTCGGGATTCTATTTTGGCAACAGAAGTAAAGTGGCTGAATTCCATCAAAGCTGACTTAGTGGTTTGTATTCTGGTGTTCCTTCAAGTGTTTGAATCAAATTCGGACTTTGAACCTTTCATAAATCCATTTGAATTGAAATAAAAGAAAAGACTTTGTGTATCATAATAGTTTAATATTTAATATGTCTTCCAAATTCAAACAAAGGTCGCTGTGAATGAGAACAGGTTTCAGATGTTGTTCCAGTTGCATGCCGAGCCGCTGCTGAAGCTGGAATTCGCTCCGTCTGTGTAACCAACTTCAGGTAATATATTATGACGACCTTCTCTTGAAAGAGGAATCACACCTTTCAAATAATTTAATCTGTTCTCTAGCCAAAATTTATGAACTCCGTGAAATTGTCAGAAGCAGAAATTTATTTGAAACATTATGTGATCTATATCCATCTTTGATGGCAGTTGGGACTTCATTTATGCCGAGTATGTGATGGCTGCTGGATGTAATCATCGTTCAATAGTTTGGCAGGTGACATGTGTCTTCCATTTGTTTGATTCATATATTCTATGATCAAGGCTTTCTGCTTTCATCCTCTTTCTGTCACGAGGAGGTACTCTGCTGCTAATTAGGCCTTTTTCCACTGGACATTTTGGCTTTAATTTTGCATAAATATATGTCCATTAAGTGATTAATATCCGACGAAGGTTATCAGTCTAGGAATCTAAATCGCATCCTTAAGCATGCCAAATGTTGCTCTCATCCTATTTTTGCATACAGCTGATAGCTTTTAGTTTAAGAACACCTTTAAAATCCTTGAGACTCGCTATTAGTTTTTAGTGGTTTTTTTTGATAGAATATCAGGCCTCGTTAAAAACCCTCTAGTTGCCCTCCATATTACAATAGTAACATGAAGGACAAACGAAGAGGGATAAGAGTGCCTACTACTATTATTAATCAGGAGAATAATACACTGCCATCCCTTACATCAAACTTTAGAAGCCTTAATCCTAATTACATAAGACTTAAACACTTCTTCCTGCAGAAACTTTAACACTAATTACATAAGACAGAAAACAAAATCCCTGCAGAAATGTAAGGGAGTCTAGCACCCTAACACACCAAAACATAGCCTAACGATCATCCTATACCATCCTTAGCTAGTCTGTTCGCTTCCCAGTTAGCAGCTCTCAAGATTTGCCTTAACATAATATCCTTCCCTTCCATTATAGAAACAATCTCCTTCACCAAGGATAGAAACATAGGGGAGCTTAGTTCCGGATTCTTGATCCACTTCAAAGCATTACTTGAATCCGATTCTAAAATAATCCTCTTATTAAGACCAACACCTGAATCAAACAACATGTACAACCCCCTCTTTATTGCCAATAATTATGCCATAATCGGAGGTCCCCCCCAACCTTATTAGAGAACCAGTGAATCAACACACCTCTGCTGTCCCTTATGAGTCCACCTATACCACCTTTATTCCAACCACTCACCATCGCCCAACAACATTAATCTTTATGAACCCGTCTGGAGGAGGAACCCAACAAGTAGGTTTGGATCCACTTTTTTTCTGTCTACCAATCGAATCAGTAAGAGTTAAGTCACCCACTAGGGAGTCGAAAGGGATCAGCGTCAAACTAGCAGAGTCGAAAGGGATCCGCACAGCGTCAAAACTAGCAGCAAACCAAGAGACTGTTCGAAATCGAGCAATAAAGAACATCCGTGTAAAATTTCTCTGTTAGGTATTTCAATTACATTTTGTTAATATCTTTAACCTCTTATGCAGATAGCAGAGGATTATTCACATTGTGAGTTTCTCATCCGTCTCCCAGGATACTGTCCAAGTATGTATACAGGCATCACTCCTATGTTTACATTATTAATTTTAGACTTTTTGAAGTCTAATTATTGTATCTGAATGTCATTTGTTTTCACAGTGCCTGCTTTCCGTGATGTTATTGATGTACCTCTAGTTGTAAGGAGATTGCATAAATCTCGCAATGAGGTTAGAAAAGGAAGTAACTATATGTTTTACAATACTTAATTTACATGTTGATCTATCTTTTCAATATATTTCTCTCTCCATTTCTTCTTGACTCTAGGTGAGAAAGGAACTTGGAATTGGTGAGGATGTGAAGCTGGTTATTCTCAACTTTGGTGGACAGGTAATTTACCTTTTCTACTCAAAGGTTACCCTGATCATAAGGATTTTTCTCATCTCTTGGATCATTCAGTTCGGACTTTGCTGATGATTTCCTGTATTGGATGCCCATATACATGGTGTCTTCTTTTTGAATGATTTTTTTCCGCAAAACATATTGTTGAAGTAGTTGGTGGCTGTTCAGATGCTGATCAATTGTGCAAATAGTTTAACTGCTGAATGCATGTAGCTTGTTATGTGCTGGCTGAGTTGTAGAAAATAGGTTATTGGTGAAAAAAGGTAAGTTTTATTCACCATGTTCTAATTCGAATAGGTACAATTATCAAGGCTTTATACAAGAGTTGTGTACAAGAGTCCTAGCTAAATTAGACTATGTTAGCTTTATCCATATCTACAAAGTAGGCTAGAATTACTGATAGAGTAAAACACTAATATTTAAAGATAATCCTAATCTTTATCTTAAAGCGTTACCACTTAACTTACACGAGTTTACTACCTTTAGAGTTTATCATTAACCAAACCATCAATTAATGGAGATTGTGTTTATCATGTTAAAACTATAGGAAAAATTGAAATTTTTTAATGTATCGTATGCCATCGTGAATGACTTTGTGGTGTGTCTGCAGGAAACTATTGTACTGAATTTTCATATTCGTTTGGTATTATTTATATTTGACAAAATATTTACCAGTTAAAATATCTAAATTGTAGTTGGACTTGCACTACTTATGTCAATCAGTTAGATAATTCCACAGTTCTACTAAGGCTTTTAAGATATCTATCCTTTTTGAGCCCACTTATTCACATGGTTGCTTAAATACAGCCTGCAGGGTGGAAGTTGAAGGAAGATTATTTACCTTCTGGTTGGCTGTGTCTGGTATCTTTTATAGCACATGCAGTTGTCCTTATGGGTTTTTCTAGAATAATCTTACTGTCTGGCATTATGTGGCATTCTTGAATATTGTTTTATTATCCAGGTTTGTGGTGCTTCTGATACCCAAGAGCTTCCACCTAATTTTGTGAAGCTTCCGAAAGATGCATATACACCTGACCTTATAGCGGCATCTGACTGTATGCTCGGTTAGTTTCAAAATTTTCAAGGTGCAAAACTGCTTTAGATGAGTGAGCAAAGTAATCTTCAATAGGATCTCCCACCGTTTCAGGAAAAATTGGATACGGTACCGTTAGTGAAGCCCTGGCATATAAATTACCTTTCGTCTTTGTTCGAAGAGATTATTTCAATGAAGAACCCTTTCTAAGAAATATGCTTGAGGTGCCCTTCTTCTCATCAATTTTATTTGCTTCAGTAATCTCCTCTTTCAGTTACTAATTTATCAACATATAAAACAAATAATAAACCATTGGGTTAAGAGTCATTATCTTCTATACAGTTTTATCAAAGTGGCGTTGAGATGATTAGAAGGGATTTACTCATTGGACATTGGAAACCCTATCTTGAACGTGCAATCAGTTTGAAACCATGCTATGAGGGAGGCATTAATGGTGGAGAGGTATTTTTTTTACTATTTTTTGGTCTATATTAATTTGTTAAACATTTTGCATATGCATTTAATTATACTAATATAAATAACACCTGTGCATATAATTGTGCTTTCTAGTTTTACTTACATAGACATGATCAAATGGTGATGAAATTTGAACAAAGAAAAGAATCTTCGGTTGAAGTTTACTGTTATTTATTTTCTAAGAGTATGGATTTCCACATGCATCTGAATTTTTTATGTTATGCGATTATAAACAACAAGATCAGTGCATATATTTATGCTTTCTAGTTATCAAAATTATTGATGGATACTACTCACTCAGACATGACCAGTTGGTGATATGAAATTTGAACCAAAGTTAGACTCACTTGAATGTGCACATTTGATTAGGCATATGCCTGGTACACATCTAGGCATGCCTTTTTTGTAGATTTACCAACAAAGCTAGAGAAAAGTTTTGCATGTTTTGTAGATAAACTGAACAAATCGTTAGAGATTTATCATAATTGTATATCTTAAACTAATTATATACATACATACACTGGCACTTGTACAAAAATACACACATGGATACTGCAACCTTGCTTTACTCCTTGTGCCCCATGCAATATAAGGGTTCTAGTGACTAGAGCCCGTGTTGTGTCCTTGACATCATTGAGGTAGAATTCTCTCTCTATTTCTTTTTTTCTCTTTTGAATGGGAGCAAATTGAAGCTTATGAATATTGTGACGTGGTAGAATAAAAAAAAATAAGTTATGACTTCTCAAGTATTTAGCATGGTTACAGATATATTGATTTTTTGGAAATAGGAAGTCTGTTCAGTATTCAATGTTTTAATTTTTTTAGAAGGTGGGCTGGATGTATTTCTATTTTAGCGCCCTATGAAGAGAGTCCATTCTATATAAGTACGTGAAGTCATTTCTTGCCAATTGTATGTTTTAGAGTCTCTACATGCACTCTAGTTTTTATTGGTGACATGCTGATATCATGTTAAAAAATCTAGGTGGCAGCTCACATCTTGCAGGAGACTGCTATTGGCAAGAATTACGCTTCAGATAAGGTACATCAGAACTGACTTTTAATGGTGTTACTTGAACTCTGAATATTGATGTTGTTGCCCAAATAGAAACTTCACACTTATATGTCTTGGAGATGTATTAGTTCAATCAACCATGGAAGGAGCTAAGTTCTGCTCTTTTATAACTGTCTATTACAATGGTTTCTGTGGTTATATTACAGAATGAATTAATTTTAACAGGAGGAGCATATTGGATTGATGCACCGTCTGCAAGATTTTCTTATGTTTGTAGTTGGAGGAAGTCAAATACTCAAATTTGTTATCTGCAGTTGAATTGATTTTCTTCGTCATACTGTTTTAAAGGAGAGATATATTTATTGATCACACATTCATGTTAAAAGGGATATTCTTTTGTGGTGATTTAAGTGGCCCCTTCTGCATATAATGCTAACAAAGTAAGCAGAAATCATATAATCTTGACAGTAGGCTGTCCTTCTGGCGTAAGGTTGCGTTTAATGGAAAAAATTGCTTACTATGGAATAGCTGAGTGATGTTAATACTGAATGCCATTAGATAGATGAACCAATGGATAAGTTATTACAAGTTTTAAAAGTTGCTGCTTAGACTAGTCACCTACATGATACAACGATAATCTAAAATTTATTTTATCAACTTTTAGTTCTCTCAGTTGCTATCTGATTCATTTATTTCCTTATATAGTTGAGTGGTGCTAGAAGGTTACGTGATGCTATAATTCTTGGGTATCAACTGCAAAGGGTCCCTGGCAGAGATGTCAGTATTCCTGAATGGTACACAAATGCTGAAAATGAACTTGGTCTAAGTACTGGATCGCCAACTTCTCAGACAAAAGAGAGCAATGAAAAATCTGACTTGTGAGTTTTGTTTATCTTAATCAATGATGATAACGACGGAGTCAATTTTTTCATTTTCTGACACTTCTATTTCTTCTCTAGTTGCACTGATGACTTTGAAATTCTTCATGGAGATCTTCAAGGTCTTTCTGATACAACGAGTTTCCTAAATAGTTTGGTAGAACTTAACAATGTTTCTGATTCGGAAAAGAATAATGAAAAGCGTCAGATGCGTGAACGTAAAGCTGCTGCTGGGCTTTTCAATTTGGAGGTATGCTCATTCCAACTAAGTTTGTTCTTTTTTGCATTTTAAAAGAATTTATTATCAGTGTTAGGGATCCAACCTTAAAACCAATTGATATGTAAATTGACACAATTTAAACATAAGACCATAAGAAACCCAAGACTTGTAGATGTGGAATAACAGCATTCAACATTCTTACGAGCAGCTCAACTTAGTAGGTTCTACATGTGTAAAACCTCACATGGGGTGATGTACCTCAATCCTATTCTCTGATACTATATTAAGCATCCAACCTAAAACTAATTAGAAATAAATGTGGGAAATAGGACTTCTAAAAAAATTTGAGCTAGGAGCATATGAAAATTTAATCTTAGACAGTTTTATTGTCATATGGTCGCATTTTTTGAACTTTGGAATAAATTTATCAAGCAATTGAGAAAAAACAATCCTATTGCAATGCATTACGTTGGCACTGAATGGATGTAAGTTGCTGCTGCTCGTTTTAACCATTCAGTGTGGAAAGATCTGCAGATACATACATTGTAGGCTCAAAAACTATTTACTATCCTGATATTTAAAATTGGATCCTGCTTCAGGCAACACTTCTGTTTTAAGTTGATTACTTAGGTTACTTTGTACAGGAGGACATCTTTGTGACTAGGGCACCTGGAAGGTTGGATGTTATGGGAGGAATTGCTGACTACTCAGGCAGTCTAGTATTGCAGGTTAGGTTTTTTTTTTACTGTTGCTCTCTTATCTGTACAGTGTAGAATTTTAGTTGGTTTCTTTCCCCTTTTTTCCTTCTCTTTAAAATTCATAATGTGTTAAATTTTTTTAGTACTTTCAGCATCATTTATTATTTTATGTCAATGGAATTAACTCTAGCCTTTCTCCCCTTAACCAATCATATCTACTTTGACAGATGCCTATAAGGGAAGCCTGCCATGTTGCCGTGCAACGGAATCATCCAAGTAAACACAGGCTCTGGAAACATGCGCTTGCACGACAGAATGCTAAAGGACAAGGACCAATGCCTGTTTTGCAAATTGTATATATCATTAATTTGTTTCTAACTAACCTTTATCACATAAAAAAATTCTGTTCAAAAGATATAGCAAACTTAAGTGCTGTAATTCTTCGCGTTATTCTTAAATCGTAATCCAAAAAATATCTTCTTGAAAAAGTTAAGGAATGTTAATGTATTTAGATAGAAGTGACCTATTTGTTACATTTTCTGAAATACATTCTAAGCTCCAACTGTTGTGACAGGTATCATATGGTTCAGAGTTGAGTAACCGTGGGCCAACTTTTGACATGGATTTATCAGACTTTATGGAAGGAGGGAAACCAATTTCATATGAAAAAGCAAGGAAATACTTTGCCCAAGATCCGTCTCAGAAGTGGGTCATTTTCCTTGCCATATTTTTCCACCTTTGTTACTCTATATGCTACTTATGCTTTTCATATATCAGCTGGGCGGCATATGTTGCTGGGACAATTTGGTTTTGATGAAAGAATTAGGTGTGCGCTTTGAAGATAGTATTAGCATGCTGGTAAGAGTGTATATTCTTCATTTTTTATGCTGTTGGTGAATTGTATCTATCCTCTGTTTCTTATGCTACGCTTCCACCTTTTTCATGTTTGTTTCACCATTTCCTATTTATGTTTGACAAGGCTTGTTAGTTATAGCATTTAATTTCATTTACTTGAAATGCAAAAAGCTGTACTTTGAGTTCAATAAAAAGGAAATACATAGGGGTGGACTTTTTGGTTATATTATGTGGAGGGAACTGAGCATAATATTAGGTCTGATTTTGGATTGACTATTGATGGGGCTGCTTATTTATTATTTTTAACCTTATAACATAGCGGTTTATTTTGAACTACGGAGAAGATGAGAGAAAAAAAATGTATCTATCCATATAGGAAACTAGGCTATTTATATTACTTATACAAGTTCTTGAGAAAGGTAAGTAAATCAACGTTTTCCTAACAATTGGCCTAAGATTATGCTACAATTATACTAACAGCTATACTTATTTATAGCTATGCTAATCATATAGTTTGTAATACACCCTTAAGTTGGAGCATAGATGTTAATCATGTCCTGTTTGTTGCATAGATTGTCAACTCGATTTCCATTGTCTTTGTGAACAAATCAACAAATTGTTATCCGTTTTTACGTAGCTAGTGGAAATTAAGTTGTCTAGAATCTTTTCACGAATGCAATATGAATAAATCAACCTTGATGTATTTGGTTCTTTTGTGATGATTTCTCCGACTCCATTTCAGTTAACAAATGTATCCACGTGGTTTCTCATGTGAACTATGATTTAGCTTTGTACTCCAATTATGCACTTGATTGAGAGAAGGCACTTTTCTTCTTGCTCCTCCATGACATTAATTTCCGCTAACTGTATAGGAAGCCAAGCACAAGGTCTCCTTTCAGGTAACATAATATCTGCTCTAGAGTTGCCTTATGTCTAACTGTAGGTGCAAGCATGAATTGGCTAATAAATACTCCCTGCAAATGCAATATCTTGACGGGTCATGTTGAGATGGTTTAATTTCTCAACTATCCTCTTATATATCTCAGGACCATCAAAGGGATAACCATCATCTTTTGTAAGATGCACATTTGTAATCTTTAGAGTACAGTAAGATTTTGTTGGCAATTTTCTGCTAAGATGAAAAATAGCTTTATGCTCCTTGTTACTTCTACCCCCAAGAAGTACTTCAATTTTTTTTTTGATAGAAAAGATGGCCTCGTTAAAACCCCCTTCATAATCGCCAATCTACGAAGGTAGCTCAACGAACATTGGAAGAAGGAAAAGAGTGTCATAAATTTTATTACTGAAAAACAAGATACAACAAAAGTACATTAGACCAATTACATCCGAACATCTCATACCACCGAACAACAAAAGCCCAGTACATGACTCCTAACCAATCCCTACTTTAAACCCCTCTTCAAACCTAACCAATTCCCAATTTGGAAAATTCATCTGCCTTGTGATTGGCACCTCTCTTAACATGCCTAATGACCACACCCCTACTTAACACAATATTAGCAATGTCATTCACCACTGCTTTAAACAAAGGAGTACAAGAAACTGGATCTTTAATCCAATCTAAAGCAACTAAACAATCAGATTCTAAGATTAGCCTTCCCCTTGATGCCCATTTTGATTCCAAAAATAGCTTCAAACCCCTCTTAATAGCCAACAATTCTGCTAAAATTGGAGGACTCAATCCAACTTTCTCGGAAAATGATTCCAGCATGACACCCTTCTCGTCCCGAAGCAAACCACCTATGCCACCCTTCTTCCAAAAGCTATCCATAGCACCATCCACGTTTACCTTAAAAAAACCTGGAGGAGGAGGACACCGACCTTCACAGACAGAATTAACCCTATTTGAACATTGGTAGGAATCTGCTAACTTGAGATCGCCCACTAAAATATCAAAAAGGACCAAATGATTTTGAAACTTTGAAGAAAACCATGTTGCCACTCTGTATCTCACCAAGAAGAAAAGTTGTACTCGATCAAGAACCCCTTTATTGAAAACAAATTAAATTCTTTGCTTCCAAACCGACCACAATATTGCTCCAGGAATAAAGGTCCATAAAGCTGAATTCGAAACCAAACCAAACCAAACCATGCCGAGAGTAAATCAACCGGGCTCTCGGGGACAGCGATGAGATGTTCCACATTCTCGTGAAATTCGTCCAAAGACCCCAGGATACACAAAGATGAGTAACAGATTCTGTAAAAACTCCGCACAAAGGGCACAACTGATCTTCGATCCCAATTACACCACGCTTAACTAACTCGACTTTGACTGCCACTTTTTTGCGAACCACCTGCAACACGAAGGACTCCACTCGAGGAGGTGCAACCCCAAGCCACACATAATTTGACCATAAGAAGTTAACATCAGACCTATCAAATATAAGCCTCATACACGATTTCACCGAGAAGCAATCATCACCATGTCCAAACCAAACAAAACTATCATCATTGAACTCAGAGGATTGAAAATTGCCTAACAACGTATACAATTGAAGCAACTTCTCCATCTCCTAATCTGCTAAGTTCCTCCTCAACTGAATATCCCAACACCACCCAGACGAGCTCCTTATCCTAAAGTCAGCAATTCTCCCTTCTTTGTTAATCGAAAGGATTGAAAAGTTCCATGATGATTGAAAAGTTCCCATAAGGTTCTCCTATGAACGTTTCTGCTAAGATTATCAACGAACGCAGACCAGATAGCTCCAACAGGGAGCTTTCCGACTCTTTGGCTTCTAGACTCACTCATTTTTTTAATGACTTGTCTTTCATTTGGAATCTAGTATGCAAGAAAGATTTGAGAGAATGGAACCCTACATCATCATTCCTTGTAATAATAATATATCAACATATTTTCCCATTCAAGTTACTGAGTGTATAAAAAATTGAGTTGTCACATTCCCTTTTTCAGTCCAAATTCTTGAACTAGCTTGCTGAGAGTTTCAAACCAAGCATGGGGTTTTGTATCAATCCATGCAAAAACTTAGACGATTGCTCCATTTATGGGAGAAGGGCATTTCTTAATATCTAAACGGTATAAAGGCCTGTTATGAGGAGCCACTAATAAAATAAATAGACAAATGTTAGATAGCTTGACCACAGGATAGAAAGAACTTTTATCTGTAACAGCAACGCTCGAGCGTTCTCAAGAATTTAGTTGTTGGACATGGATATGGTTATTTTTGTAATTTTTCCATATATTTGAAGAATCCTTGGAGGTGATCGTATCCCTGTATCCAATGTCGGACACAAGTGTCTGTAGAAACAGAGTTTTCCGGTTCTGGTAAACAGGGTTTTTCGATTCTGAATTTTTTTTTATTCAAAGAACAATTGCATATTACACAAGAGGACACAAAAGGTTAGTTATGGGACTTGTAGCTAAAGAATGTAGTGGGATTACCTGTTATGTGGTTTGTACCGGAATCAATGATCACTTTGTTTGATGGGGAAATGAGGTATGTCCTGCCTATCTCAGCAATGATAGTGACTAGGTTAGTCTCTTTCAATGAATCCTGATACATGAAAATTTTATCATATCCCTTTGTCATAATTGTAATTTATTTGCTTTTCCCTTCGATGAACTGGAAGTATCAACATTGGCTGGTTGAACCCTTTAATTGCGATTCTACTATTTCTTGCAGTAACTATTCACATATTGCTGCTTCTAGTGATATAATTTCTGTTCACCTGTATACAGGTTTCTTCTGCAGTCCCAGAAGGCAAAGGTGTATCTTCTTCTGCCTCTGTGGAAGTTGCTAGCATGTCAGCTATGGCAGCCGCTCATGGTATTTCTAAAATTTTCTTTTTCCATGTGCAGCTGCTTTGATGTTTATTACATTTCTTCTTTTTTCTGTACATGACAAAACTCTTTTCTTTTATAGCTGAAAAACAGTGTTTTGTTGTGTACTTTGTATTTTAGATGAGGACTAAATCTACGTAGAGATAAATGATTAAGTCTTTATGAGTGCCACCATCTGCTGGAAGACATGATTTAAGAAGCATTATCTTTGATAATGAAGGCTGCTAAATAGTAGATTTTGGTGTAGAAATGCATCATAATGTTTAGTGTTCAATTGGATCAATTTTTATTTTGTTTTCATGCACCAGAAGATGATCGTGCTTTCAGTTGAATTCGTGAAGCTTTTGATGCCTTCCTGTTGAACTTCTAAGCTTTTTCCTTCTAAGCTTTTTCTCAAAGCACGATCATCTCTGTTATGTTTTTTTAAGGTCATCTTTGTTATGTTTAGATCATATAAAAGGAACTTTTCCAAGGGTTGAACCCTTTACAGACGGATAAAATTCATCTTTGTTTTGGAGTGGGAACTTATTTAGACCATCTTATGCATGATTTTCAGGATTGAGTATCAGTCCAAGAGAGCTTGCCCTCCTCTGCCAAAAGGTTTAACTTGAATGTTTTCATATTACATTCAACAGAAATGTTTCAAGCATATACGTCAATTTGCTTATTCTTTTTATTAGGTGGAGAATCACATTGTAGGAGCCCCATGTGGTGTTATGGACCAAATGACTTCAGCGTGCGGTGAGGCCAATAAACTACTTGCAATGGTTTGTCAGGTTAGCAGCATTACCCCTGCAGAATAAATATATGCAGAAGTTGTTTTGCTTCTTAATTAACTATCAAAATTAATGGTTTTCTTATGCAGCCTGCTGAGGTAATTGGTCTTGTAACAATTCCAAGTCATATCCGATTTTGGGGAATTGATTCAGGAATAAGGCACAGGTACTGGGTTAATCGTCATTGTCGTCGTTATTTTGGTTGGCCTGTAGTAGCAATTAACATTGTTTAAGTTGCATGCTTGTTTTCTTGCATAGTTATTCTAATTTGAACATAGTTTGCATTTATCAATTTTGAATTGTAAAATAAGAAAAATTGACTATATTAGGAAAAGATAGTTTGAAATCTGTTACCCTTCATATATTACACTCCAAAACATGCTTAAATTGAATGCCTTATAGTTATTCATGATGTTTGAGACATTGCTTACTCAATTGATGGTTATTCGTACCTCCAGTTATTTGGGCTAACCTTTTCCTATAGAAATTCCTATTCCTTATTTTTTGTATTTTTCAAATGTGCAGTGTTGGAGGTGCGGACTATGGATCTGTTCGAATAGGAGCCTTTATGGGTCGAGAGATTATAAAAGCTATAGCATCAACTAGATTGTCTCAATCAATACAACTGCTAATGGGGTATCTCCTGATGAACTGGACAATGATGGACTGGAATTACTTGAAGCTGAAGCTTCATTAGATTATTTATGCAACTTGTCACCTCACAGGTAATGGTCCTTTATCAGGTTTAATCTCTCTCTTTTCTAGATTTTTCTTGGCCTAAACAATTCAAGTGTTGAGAACCATTTTTTATCACTGTAACTGTTGTCATGGCATATGAAGATGTGTTTCTTTTTCTGGTAAAATTCTTCTTTTTCATTGTCTTGTTCTACAGATACGAAGCTCTTTATGCCAATCAACTTCCTCAATCAATGCTTGGTGAGATGTTTTTGGACAAATATTCTGATCATGGTGATACAGTTACAGTAATTGATAAGAAACGAACATATGGAGTGACAGCTGCTGCTAAGCATCCTGTATATGAAAATTTTAGGGTCAAGGTTTGTTATTTTGATCTGGCACCTTATTGGAGTACAAAAAATTTGCCTGCAATTTGAATTTTGACTTGATCCATTATTATTCAATAGAAAACTGTACTGTTTCTCTGCTAGATAAAATTTTCTAATCACTCTTTATTGTATTTATGTTCTTCTAACTGTGAAATTGAAATTCTTCACTATTAATATTTCTGATGTATCAGTCTTATACTCACTCTAGTTGATGTAACTGTATTTATTTGCATCTTCAATCCCCTGTTTAAGTTTTCCTTTGCAAACTTTTTTATTTCCTCGACCACTCTACATACATATTCCCCTCTTATTGAAAATCAATCCTGGAGTACATTAAGGTGGCTGATCCGTTGATCTAGTTCTGGTTTACCAATGGTTAACAATTTGCACCCTTTATTGTACATACTTCTGTTCTGATGGGTAGTTAACTTCTTATTCTTGGACGTCCAGATTACCAGAGACATGCGGACATGTATATTTCCCTTAGTAATTATTTGCTGATTTTTGTTGGGAACTTTCTTGCTAATTATTTATGTAAATTTATGTGTAGGCCTTTAAGGCACTGCTGACATCTGTGACTTCAGATGAGCAACTTACGGCACTTGGAGAGCTGCTTTATCAGGTATATGCAAGGTTTTTAATAGGGTTTTCTATGTAATTGATGGTTAGTTGAATTATCATTTTAATGAAAGGGAAATGTGCTAAATTTTTTTATATGTTTAAGGGGTTCATATTTGATACTGTTTGTGGATTTTTTTAACTCCACGTAGTTAAAAGGTGCCACGTGTCTCATTTAATTTTTATACTTAATTTTTTAAGTACGCTCCAAGGGGTATGTCACCCAGTCAACCCAGCTTGTGGAGTCTAAACGCTCCACCGTGTACCGCACTGGCAATGGAATATTTAACTTCACAAAGAGATGCAAAATTTTATTTGTTTTTTGTAATACTATCAAGGGTTATGGATGCAAAATGTGTCGATAGCAATTGCATTCATTTCAGTTATTGAGAGACTAGTGGTTCAACTCGTATGAATAACTGATATCAAGACTACTGGTAGAATTATAAACTAAATGAAACAATGGAATAGTGATCTTTCAATAGAAAGAAATGTAATTGAAAAACATTTTTGTAGTGCCACTATAGCTATAGTGCATGCGGACTCGGCTCTGACGGGACAAATAGACTGGTAGAGTTGGTGCAGGAGATGCAGCATAGTAAAGTTTCTAGGGTTGAAGAAAAAACTTTATATGGAGCTAAAATTACTGGTGGCGGTTCAGGTGGAACAGTTTGCGTAGTTGGAAGGAATTCACTCCGAAGCAGCCAGCATATTCTTGAGGTGAGTTATAGTGAGGACCTATACAGTGACGTGCATGTATGGTTATATTAATTATTAATGATCATAAGTCTAAAGGAAGGTATCTAACAAAATCTGATTATGGTATGATTTAGATTCAGCAAAGGTACAAAAAGGCAACAGGATACTTGCCCTTCATTTTTGAGGGCTCATCCCCTGGTGCTGGCAAGTTTGGATTTTTAAGAATTCGACGGCGCATCTCTCCCCAATCCTAATGTGCTTGCATGTCAGCCCTTCCAATGGCCCCATTTATTTATTTTTAAATAATTCAAGTTATTTGGTTTAGATGTATCTTCCTTATTTTCAAAATAAAGATAAGCAACAATCGCCTAATTACTATTTAACGTAAAGTGTTGTAATATTTTCATTTATCCATTGCATGATGTGTATTCGTTTCCCTCTTTGTAATCGCTCTTGCATACAATGGGCTGTATAACAATTCAATATGGTAATTTAAGAAATGGTATATTTTCAAATAGTAATTATTAATAATTTCCATCAGGTAATTTTATGAAATCAAACAAAGTAAAATTTCCACGTCAATATCTAGCTAGCTGACGTATAATTTCCAATCAGTTTCGAGTTTGTTAATCAGTTATTAATCATATTATATAAGCAAGTTTTCAGAATGTAAAATCAAAATGGTTTGAATCGATACTATATCCACGTGAAAAGAGAGTTGAAAGTTGTACGGTAAATCATGATACGATGGTTGAGACGAATCAGTAGTTTGTGGAAAGGCTTGTAACCATGCTTGGTTGCAGAAAGCTCAGTCGCATCGCCCTCCGTGAGGTTATTAATCCACGTAAAATTAGCAACCATGTGGATAAATTTCAAACAGATTGCAATCATTGATGCAATCGAGTAGTGTATACTATGCATACGTAAGCATATTTCTTCTTTAAAAAAGACTGCAATCATTGAGGCAATCGAGTAGTGTATACTATAATTTAGTTAACAAAAACGAAGTAGCGTGAGTACTAGTAATTATTATTGTTGAATGTGGGATATTTTGTAGTTGGATTTCCTTTGAACATTAACATCAATCATTATATCAATGGCAAATGGCAAGGATTCCATTCCTAAACCATATGGCACAACTCATCATACATATTAGTAATAAAAATCTTTGTTCCACAAGAAATGCAGCATCGTGACAATGCAACGCCAAGAATATCAATCACATGGTTTTCTCTGCATCATTTATCGCTACAATTGGCAACATATTTAAACATTATGTTAGTACCTCTAGAGTCCAAATTTCAGTTCAGAGAAGAGAGAACACAAGCATGCAATTGCATTCTCATTCCTCGGTTCGGAAAAGTGAAAAGCACAGCAACAATAAAAGAATAATCCTATGACAAAAGGGTTATCAAAGCAAGGCCACTTCTACTCTAAAATAAATTGCGGATAGCTTACCAAAAATAAATAACTCAAACCCTCTCTGCTGGAGTAATAAGCGTGAGTGATTGATAATTGGATTACAAAGACACAGCTACAGATACATTGCAACAGCTTCAGGAAGCAGACGCAATTGAATTGATGGGATCCGAGTCTGGGTTATGGGATTTAAGAGGCTTGAGAGGAGAGCCTACTTCCTCCTCCGTGGTAACTCCTTTACCCATTATTACAAGCACGTTCCTGACTTCATTTGCCAACTCTAACCATGTCATCCTCGTGACCTGTTTCCACACACACGCACAAAAACAAATCCCAAGCCATATTTCATCATTTACTCATTCAACATGTTTTTATAAATGTGCAGTATGTGCATATGCAGTTAATGATGTATTCACTGTTGGTTTGAAGTGAGAAAATATAAACCACAGCAAGACTCACCTATATGAAACATGGCCTTCTCCAGCAGGAAAAGATAATCCCTATTGTTTCCACAGGGTCCAAGGGCGGTTGCAATTTGCCTGACATATATATATATATATATATATATATATATATATTTGTTTAAAAAAAGGCGCCAAGCATATGTTACAATAAAGCTCACGCGCAAAACTTCCATCAAAAGGTTGAAATTGTAACAGTGGAAGGATCAGAAAACTACCAGGCCATTTCCTTCAATGGAGCAGGCCCCGGGTAATATTTGTTTGAAACTCTGTCAGCAGTAGATGTGAACCTGCATAAAGTACATATTTTTTAAGGAAATTATACATTAAAGATTGCTTTTCTCTTTCAACCTATTACAAATCGGGGGAAATGGCAGAAGGGGAACTTAAAAAGCAGGTTTACACAATAATTCCACTTAGAGCAGGCTGCAGAGGATCTGCTTCCTGATCGAAAGCAATCACATATAAGCACAAGTACGGAAAATAATGATAAACTTGAAAAGACAGCAAAGGAAACCATTTCTGTGTATTAGAGATATAGAAAACTAAATCCTATACCTTGAAGAAGTCCACGAGGGTCTTCTGATCATATTCACACTCCCTTCTCTCCAAGTACTGCAAATTGGAAATAAAAGACAAGTCGGTTTCGAGGATTAAGCAAATTAGTTGAGACAAAGAATACCCTCGTGGAGTTTTCCTTCTGTAACACAAAATACAAACGGCAATACAGCCTGTGAAATTTGAAGCAAGATACCTCCATTGCTGTCGTTTCCTTTTCAGGACTGCCCCGAACACAATAAGCTGTGCCCCACTGAAAGAAATATTATAGATTTAACAAAGAGTACAAGCAGCTCTTAGCAAAACTATGATTAACAATAATAGTCAACGGCGCATAAATATAGCATACAAATCTGTTGCTCTATGACTGCTTCCCATAATCAGCAACAAATTTAAGTAACCCAGAAGAAAACAATTAAAGGCATGAACTTGATAACTATGGGATTATAAGTCATGAAAGAATTACTGTCAGCTGCTACCTACACAAACGTCTCCTTCAATGTGCTCCAAGGTGCAAGTCCTTGCAGGATTCTCAGATTTAACTCTGTGATCAATGCATGCTGTAATGTAGAATAAACAATATGCAAAGCAGTATAACAAGTCCTGCAAAAAAAAAAAAAAAAAAAACTAGATATACATGTTTACTTGCAAAGGTGAAAAACACGCCTATAATCCTTGATGAGGCCTATGATTTTCTCATCCTACTCAAACCCAGGGTTCCAAAAACCCAGAAAACTATAGTTTTTATGCTCCTGAGAAAATGAAGTTGTTAACTTTATTTTTTCATTAAGATGATGAGATGAAAAAAAATGCATCATAACGTAACATAAAATGACGATAGTTTCTTATGAAATGGTGATTGTACAAGTAGTGACAAGGCGATATGTTTGGATTAGTTGAATCAAACAGCAGAAAAATAATGATTTTGTGAATCTCTGTTGCCACTATCATTATTATCAAAACCCAAGAGAAGCAGAAAACTTTACCAATAAATAATAAAAATCCCTCAAATCCAAATTACAACAAAGATACTTAAAAATATTGTTGAAGAAAAGAAAAAGTAATTTAAATTACGTTCACTGCAACTCAATATCCAACATTACGACTCAAAAATTTTGCTTCTATTTCTTTTACCATACTTGAAGTTGAGTTAGCGACAATTTAAAGAAGTCATAAGAAAGGCAGCAAACAAGAAACGATCCATAAAGGGGTAAAAGATAACAAACTATTTTCCCTCTTTAAGATCTGTTATCCCAAAAGACCATGGCTCATTTGATGCCTAGATGATATACAACTCCATTTGGTTGATGAAACATCAAGAAATTGTCAACTTCACACACACAAAAAAAGTTCGATGGATTTAGTTTGCCAAAATGATCTCCGATGAAGCAAATACCAACAGAGAAAGCTACTCTCAAGAAATATCACTGATACTTGTAACATATAAACAAATAAACTATGATTTCATCTTCATCCTCACCTGTAGTCCCCATATATGCTCAATGACTTCACAGTGGCTTCATCTTTCCATATTCCAGAATTACAAGAAACATCCGTATAATGTTGATGCCAGGCATAACAACTTCTAAAATTGATCCACGAAACCCAGAACTGCAATGATAAGTAAATTTCCTTCTTAACAAGCTTATCCAGCAACTTGATTGCCTGATTAAACTCATTCGCCTTGCAAAAGTTCTCAATCAAGACACCCTAATGACCAACCTCTGATGGAATACTCAATCGAATCATTGCCTTGAGCACATCAGAAGCTGCCTTCATATCACCAGATTTGCATTGACTATTTAACAGCTTGATGAAAATTGAATTATCCTTGGGTGCAATATACCTCTCCACCATATCCTTCAAAATAGTCTTAGCCTCATTTGTCTTGCCCACATCACACAGCCCTGGCAATAAAGTTGAATACGTTGGTGCATTAGGCTGTGTACCAAATGACTTTATCTCTTCAAACAATCTTAACCCATCATCAACTTTCTCCACTACAACATACCCCTTTATCATGGTAGTGTAGCTGATTACTGTAGGGGCTAAGTTCTTCGCCTTCATCTCTACAAACAACTTCTCAGCTTCCTCCATTCTATTGAACCGAGTATATCCATTAATCAATGTATTATACGTCACAGTATCAGGTGCAATGCCTCTAGTCTTCATATCTTCATAAAACCGATTAGCAGTGTCGAGTCTCAGCGATAAAAAGAATCCCCAAAACATGATATTATAGGTATGACGAGTAGGCTCTATCCCTTCACTCAACATCTTATTGAAATACCTTTTGACCATCATATATCGACCGCGTCACAGTATAACCATAAAGAAAGCATTATAAGACTTGATAGTCCTGTCCACACCCAACTCCTCCATTTTCTGGATGCTGCTTATTTTCTCAGATTTTATTTTCTCAGATTGAAGGGGAGAAAGAGGAAAAAATAATTTGAGAATGGAATAGATTCAAACCTCGGAAACCATGGGCACGACAAAGATCTCAGAGAAGGCGAAGAGGGAAGGATGCGACATCGCTTCGAGGATTACAGAGCTAAGAACTGAGCCCACTTGAACTGACACTTTCTTCACAAAGTAATCGATTAACTCTGCTTGTTTTTGCTCGATATTAACCCTTAAAATTTTATTTCCCAAGAGCACACAATTCTCATGAACAAATTATATTGAACAAGAACAGAGACGGCGAAAGTTAACCTCATTCAAACGGTAAAATAATATTCAGACCCGAATACAAAAAATCAATATAGAATAAATTAAATCCCAAATTCATAAACAAAACCATTCATCCATCAACTCAAATGCAATACAAAAAATCATGATTAACATGAATTTCGATAAATAAAGAAAATGGGAGTTTTTGTTTAGTACCTAACAAGATCCTCGAACAATTTCCTCAAATTTTTAAAAGGAAACACCCCTTAGAACTTGAGGGTAAATGGGCATTGATCAAAAACGAAA